GAGCCTGTCCCGTGAGGCCCCTCCAGGCTCCCGCCGGGCCTCCGTGCAGTCGCCGCGGGCCCCCCCGAGGCGCGGGGCCGCTGGGAGCTCGGCCCTCACCTGTGGGAGGCGAGGGCTTCCGTCAGGCCGTAGAGGTTGTGCAGGTCGTAGTGCGTGGAGAGGAACTGGCGGCTGGAGGCACAGAGGGTGGCGGCCCGCAGCGTCCCGCCAACCACCCCTGGGAGAGGGGGGCTGTCTCCGTCTGTGGAGCCTCCGCCTGGCCGGCTGGTGCCCCCCACATCCCAGGAGCCCCCTCGGAACTTGGGGCGTCCCCTTTTCCAAGGACAGGGATACGGTGGAGGCTGAGGCCGGCCTTTGCAGACCGCAGACTTGACGTCCACCTGCTCCTGACCCATTCCAAGTCCCTCCCCGTTCCTGTCCCTAAGTCCGAGACACCTTCCCTCTGAAGGGCCCCGCCCGGCCGCGTGGCCCAGCTGACGTCTCGCCAACCCGACCTTCCTCCTGGGGTTGCCGTCCCCTTTCCAGGGTGGCCGTGCCCATTGGCTCCTCAGAAAGGAGAGCTGGCCCGTGGGGGCAGGTGGGAGAACTCACCTGGTACGTAGGGCGGATTCTCCAGGTCATTGTCGGGGCAGCCGTCCACAGAGCCCTTTACAAAATTGGAGGGCTCGTTCATGTCCTGCAAAAAGAGGCCCTGGTGGTGGGCGCCCTGCCGTGGGCAGACGCTGGGGCCGGTCCCCCAGCCCCCGGGACACTCACGATCCACATGCCGTCGAAGGGCACCTGGGCATGGAACTCAGACACCATGTCCTGCCACCAGTCCAGGGCCTCGGGGCTGGTGAAGTCGGGGAAGGCAGTGAGTCCGGGCCACACCTGCAGCAAAGGCCAGAGGGGAGACCAGGCCCCCCCAGAGCTACAGCCCTGCTCGTCTGCCTGGGGGTGGACAGTCTGTGGAGGTGAGTGTCGGCGGCGGTAGGGGCCGTGGGGGGAACGCGACTGAGATCTCACTTTCAGACAGAGGCCCCAGAACTGAGTCGTGGACATCTGCTCCCCTGGCAGCCTCCCCGGCCTCCCCTCAGCTGGGACCCCCCCTCCCCTTGGTTGCGGGCACGCCCTGGAATGGGAAGTTGGGGACTCTGCCAGGCGCCCCCGTGGGAAAGCCTGGGAAGCCCCCAGGGGCCTGAGGACACAGAGACCCTTGCTAAGGGTCTGCAGAGCTCGTGCCTGGGCTGGGCCCAGCTGCCCACAAAGTCAAGGGCCCCCGATGGAAGGATTCGAGGTGGTATCAGGAGCCCCCGTCACTTCTAGCTGTGACCACCCCCCCAACCCCCGCCCTACACAACAGGATGATTTTTTTAATCCCATCCTCTTCCTGAACAGCGAGCGCCCCGTTGCCACTGGCTGGGGACTCCTGCTTTCTCACCCCGTGCCCCCCGGCCCCCACCCTACCTTCCCAATCAGAGGCTGCCCAGTCTCATTGGTGATGAAAACCCTCCTCCGCAGACCCTCGTCGTAGGGTCGGTAGCTGCCGGGGGGGCTGGAGCTGCTGATGGCAGGGTCCTGAGCGGGGTGTGGGGGGAACCAGTCAGGAGGAGAAGGAAACGCTCCAAAGCCAGGCACCAATTACTGGGGAAGTGAGAAAATGCTCTCGATACATCGTTAGGAAGAACAAAGCCAGGAGGGAGCATGCATGTGCACACGCACACGTCTGCTGAGAGACCGGCCCACGGGGCACCTGGATGCACATTTTGGCTCTGCTTTACGGGTTCTAGAGTTTCACAAATGTTCTACAGTGAACACTGATTTCTTTCAGAATAAAAGAAGGTCTGCATCTGCCCTCCCTGCCCTGAGTGGCCTCAGATACCGGCTGCGCTCCGAGGGGCCGAGCTGAGGGCAATGGCCTGCGTCAGCACGATTCGGACCTCCGGGCAGACCGGATCCCTCCGCTGTGGGGTGTCTGCCGTGCAGCTCCGCAGCCTCAGCGCCCCTTCCCCATCTCCTCTGGCCAGGTGGCTAGGCACTCGGCCCGGCCGCACCAGCACTCGGGCTGCAGGGATTGGCCCCGGGGGACTGTGGCGGCTCGGAGCCCGGCCCTGAGCCTGGCCCTCCTTCCCGTGAGGCAGAACTGAGTGGGGGAGAGGCAGGGCCACGAGACACTTGGAGCCTCTGTGGCTCCAGCTGCCCGGGCATGCAGCGCCACCCCGGCCCTCCCAGTACTGGGGGACGGGAGCCGAGCGCAGACCCCTTGCTTGAAGCCGTTCATGTAACCTACAGCTGAAGGGATCCCGAGCAACAGATGTTCCCAGGGACCCTCAGGCTGGACATCACTGGACAGCAGGGACCCAGTCTGTACGTCTGATGTTCCCTCAACAGCCGAGACCCTCAGGAAACGTCCCCAGTGACCTCGGCAAACACGAGGCAGCTGAGGCACTGGGTCTCTCCCCCGCCCAGAGAGGCAGCCCCACGTGGCGTGGGACAGGAGGGCCACTCACCACGATCATCACGTACCGCCGGCCGTCCTGGTGGAGCTCCTGCACCATGGCCGGGAAGTCCCTGAAACCGTCCTTGTTGAAGGTGAAGTCCCTCCTGGCGTCCATGTAGTCCAGGTCATTCCACTGCGTGTCCTGCAGCCAGCACGGGGACCGCTGCAGCCGGCCTGGGGGCCTGCGTCCCGGCCCAGCCCCCAGCACGCCCTCCCAGCACTCACCAGCGGGAAGCGGGCCCTGGTCATGTTCTCTACCACCTGGCGGGTGATGGTGGTGGAGGAGTAGCCCCAGCGGCAGAGGTGGAAGCCCAGGCCCCAGTACGGCGGCATGAACGGGTAGCCTGCAGCCAGGGAGGGGAGCTCCGTGAGCAGGCTGGCAGCCGGAGGGGAAGAGGGACGGAAGGGGCAGGGGAGGGGCGGTGTGGGGCCGGGGAACAGGCCTACCCACGACTTCCAGGTATTGCTGCACCACGCTCTTGGGCTCAGGGCCCAGGAAGATGTACACATCCAGGATCCCACCTGTCGACCTCCAGCTGAGGGCCGGGCTCGGCTGCAGGACCACATCTGGGGGAAGTAGCCCTGGGGCTCAGGAACAAATACCCATGCCCCATTCCCCCCACCCCTGCCCCCGTGGCACCTTGAAGAAGGGCCACATCCCACCCAGGGAAGCTGGGAGCAGCCTGCTTAGGGCCTGGGGACAGTTCCCCTGAGCCGGACTGCTTGAAGAGCCTGGAGCAGAACAGACCCCAGGACTCCCCTTGCTGGCCTCTGCTCAGAGCACACTTCGGGGTACCCAAGGACAGAGCTGGCAGAGGCCACAGCCCACTGGACTCATTTCTGGGGAGCGCAAACAAGGCCCGACGCCCTGCCCACGGCCCCAGTCCTCTACCGCTAGCCTGTCCCAACAGGTGCAGAGAGCCCCGCGCTCCCCCCATGGAGGGGGTGCGGCCACCCCCAGGGAAGCCGCTGGCCTGGGGGCTCAGAGGGAGCATCGGCTGCGGGACACGGGGACCAGGGTGAGTGCTAGGGGTGGTTGCCCACCTGCTTACCCATGGCATTGCTGTTCAGCAGGAAGACCCCGTGAGCTGACCCGCCGTCCTCCAGCACCAGGTAGAAAGGGTGCGATCCATACAGGTTCACGTCGGGCTGGGCATGTGGACACAGCACGTTAGCGCCCTCACCCACATGGTGTGTCCAATCCCCTCCTCGCTGCCCCCTTTACCGAGGGGGCGATGTCCCGGTTCCAGAGGGTGATCTTGGTCCAGTTGGTGCTGAGCATCAGGGAGCCGAGATGCTCGGCAAGGCCTGTGATGTGCTGGGATGGCAGGGAGGTGGACAGCTGCAGAAACTGGTCGGCGAAGAACAGGGGGGCCACTGTCGTGTTCAGCCTGCCGGAAAGAGCCCAGGCAGCCTTGCAACCTAGGCAGCCAGATGACCCCGAGATGGACCCTCCCAGAGAGACCCCTGGTGCCCCGAGGAGGGCTGGAGTGGCCTGGCCACCTCTATGACACACTGACCCCAGGACAGAAGCAGCCACCGGAGGTCCAGTGACCCTCGGGACCTGACCCAGGTGTGGAGAGCTCCCACAGCACTACCTGGCTATGCCCATGTTGCCCCAGGTGGGCATCCAGCAGGGGACTGCCCCATAAGCCCTGGTCGCAAGCAGGTGCCAGGCAAGGGCTGCCCGAACCCTTCCAGTCCTAGGAGTTGTGGCCCCGAGCTCCTTTTGCAAGGGTCAGACTGCTCCCAGACCCCAGCCATGACCTTCCCCAGAGCCATGGAACTGTCCACCCAGGGGTGGCCAGGACCCCGAGGTTGCACAGGGTCAGGGCGAGGCAAGAACCACAGATGGGGCACGAAAGACCTATTAATGCTGATTTCATGGAATGATGTCCCATTGCATCCTGCCTGCCCCTGGGCCAGACTTATCTGTGTGTTTTCAAGACCAAAGTGTGATTAAATGCTTCAGAAAACTTCTCTCCGGTCTCTGCTCAAAGGTCAGCTTCCTAGAGAGGCCTTCTGTAGCCCCCACTCCAGAGCCAGCCCTGCCCTCCACATCTGCACAGCTCCTTTCTAGAACTTCGTTAGCATTGTTACTCCTGACATCGTACTTGGCCTCACTCACTGCCCCTTCCCACTGTGTCAGCCCTGGGGGCAGCTCCATATTGCTCAGCCAAGAACGGGCAGAAAAGAAACGCATTTCAGGAGGTGAGTTCTCCTAAGACTAAGGCAAGTCCAAGCTCATTCCCGAATATGTAACTGAGTCCAGTGACAAAGAGGAGCCTTGTCAACCCAGGGCACATATTTACGTGGGACTGTGTGGACAAAGCACACAGGGTGCGGTCCTGTGAAAATGTGCTTGCATAATCCGCCGTCAGGATAGATGGCGGGGTGTCGGCAGAACCGCTGCCCTGGCCCACGGCTCTGGGAGGGGACATGTCTGACACTGGGAGTCACAGCCACCACTTTGGATTCCAGGATGCTTTGCTGCATCCAATTCCCAGGGTGTGATGGGGGCGGTGGAGGTGACGCGTTCCCTGGAGACGAGGGCACGACCAACCGATGCCCTCACCCTTGCTACCCATCCACGAGCATCTGCTGTGGGTCAGAACCTCCTTCGGAGCTGGAGGCCCAGGAGCGAGCTTCCGGAATGGGAAAGGCTCCTTGGCGGGCAGACAGCAGCAACGATTCGGACAAACCTAAGATCTCAGGGGGACGCAAGCCCCGGGGGGACGCAAAACAGACAGGGGCCAACAGCATGGATGCCGGGCCCTGGCTCAGAAGCTGCCAGCAAGCCGCCTCAGTCTCCCCGTCCGGACAGTGGGGATGGTAACAGCACCACTTCTGAGCCGTCGGGGTGCCGATGTGCCTAAGTGACACACGGTATTTGACGATCAATAACACGTGTGAACGTAAAGCGGCGAGGGGACGTTGCCTGCGGTGGGCGTGCCGTTTCTCACCGGACCGAGGTTTCTCAGCCTCGGCACTTTTGACATTGGGGTGGGAGTGCTCTGCGTGGTGGAGCCATTGCCAAAGGTCCCCGGGAGGACGGCTCCCCCAGCAGGCCCTACCTGGGGGGCGTCAGGAGGGCATCTGCAGGGGGGTTGCTGAGGGACCTGAATGAGGTGAGGGAGGGCTCCAGGCGGAGGCAGTGGTGAAGAGCCCCAAGGGAGAGTGGGGGACGGTGCCCTGATGCCCCCACCTGGGGTGGGGGCACAGAGACCAGCACTCACAGCACCCGGCCGTCCAGCTTCCGGCGCACGACCACCCCGAAAGGCTCCTCCTGGAACTCCACGCTATAGAGTGTGGACGAGGCCCGGCTGTGGACATGCGGGGTCTCCAGGGGCACCTCGTAGCGCCTGTTGGCGGGATCCTTGATCTAGGAGTCAGATGGAGGTGCCATGAGGCCCTCTGGGGGCCAGCACGCCTCCCCCTCCTTCCTCGCCCCCCAGAGTCCCGGTGTGGTCAACTGAGCCTCCGTTTCCTCACGTCCAGAACCCCGTGTGGGTCGCCAGGGAAGACACACAACACCCAGTCAATCTGAATTCCAGATAAACAACTCTTCCCAGTATGTCTCAAATATCGCACGAGACGCACACTAAAAAAATAAATCCATTCCTTGGTTTTCTGGAATTCAAAGTTACTGAGTGCATCCTGCATCTTTATTTGCTAAGTCTGGCAACACTGCTCCACCCAGCATGCCGGTCACAGGGTGGCTGAGAGATTAGAGCACCCAGCTCAGCTCTGTCTGCTATGCAGTAATCACCCAGTAAATGCTGGCTGTTAGAAAGTACTTTGTTAAAATTATTATGGATTGTGTGCTTCAGGCTCTCTCGGCTTGGCCTCCTCATGTTCAATCCTTGGGTTTCTGCTGGGCAACTGTTACATGCCAGACTATGTCCCAGGGGCTGGGAATCAGCAGGGAGTAAATCAGACAAGAGGTCCTCCCCTCAGGCGAATGGACAATCATCACATTCCACTGTCCATTGCCCCGAACATTCCCCCCATCCTCCCTGTCCACCTCTCCCCTTGCTGACTCTGTCCTGTAGGACTTCAGGTTCCTGGTGAGATGTCACTTACTGGGGGAGACCTGACCTCCCTCCACTGTGCCCTGAGCCCTGCCCTCTAGAGCATGTTCTAGAACCTTCTAATCAGTGTCTTAGTGGCCACTGCTCCCTGAGTGTAGGCACTGTGCGCTCACTCCTGGACTCCCAGTGAAGGCACACAACACATTTGCACACCAAACCAACACTTCATCTGCTGCCCACCCACGTTTTCTCTGCCCCTGTCTGGCCCTGCCCACCGTGAAGTGAAGCCGGCTCTCCGTCTCTAGCAGCATGTCCAGCCGTAAGGTCAAGATGTCCTTGGGGAAGAAGGTTGGGGTGTTGCGGGTCAGGGTGGCCGTGTAGCCTGTCTCCGTGGTGGTCAGGTTCTCCAGCTTGTAACTCGGGTAGCTGGGTGGGAAGAAGCACCAGGGCTGCCCCATCCGGGGGATCTGAGGCCACTGCCTTGCAGGCCGGTAGCAGCAGCCCCGGGCCTCACACTGCTCCTGCGTGATGGCCTTGTCGGGGGCACAGTCGAAGCGGCTGTTGGGGGGCACATCACACTGTGTGGGTGCTGCTTGGGGACTGCCGTGGTGCCCTGGGGTGGGCTGGGGGCCTGGGTCACTGGCTCCCTGCTGGCGAGCACGATAAAGCTCCTCAGGTACTTGGGAGACACCACGCTGCTCTTGGGGGACCACCAAGAAATCATGGAGCAGGACGTGCCCCAGGAAGGCGGCGCTGGCCAGGCAGACAAAGGTGCAGACTCCCAGCAGGGGGCGGGAGCTGGGAGGCCACCTCACGTCCATGGTCACTGGCACCAGCTGGCAGCCGGCTGGGTCCTGGAGGCCTGCTGAGAGAGGAGCTGGGCTCAGCAAGGAAGGCGGGACGGAGTGGCCGGGGGTGGTTCAGGAGGCTCTCACAGCTTCCAGACGTGGACCTGTGGCTGGTCCGGCAGTGCCCAGGGTGCGGTGGGCCGAGAACGCGGGGCAGGCGAGGATAGGCAAGCTCCCGGCACTGTTTAGAAAGACAGCAAGGGAAGGGAAAAGGGAAAGCCGAGAAAAGCCCCGAATAGGGAGTTTCGGAATACCCTGTACTGAGTGCTTACAAATGAGATGCGTTTAAAATGTGCGTAAAATGGGGCGCCTGGGTGGCTCAGTCGTTAAGCGTCTGCCTTCGGCTCAGGTCATGATCCCAGGGTCCTGGGATCGAGTCCCACATCGGGCTCCCTGCTCGG